CTTTTTATATCACAGAAGTTATCCAATTATTTTCGTCGATCATCAGGTGAAGCGATACTTTTTTCAAGGGACTGTACATATGTTACTGACGTGGTGGTTCCGCTTTTACGGTCAACGTTGAAAAATCTTCCGGTCGGAAAAATCAATTTACTTAGCACGTAAGTTTGATTGAATAGAATAAATCTCTTAATTGTGGCATTACTAAAAAGTTTGTTTCTATTTAGCGCAGAGCGACAGAGCGTGGCTAGTGCAGACAGAATGGATGAGAGGAAGCAGGGAAAATGTCCCGACGTTATGTTTATGACTGCAAGTAAAGAAAAGTTATATGAACTTATGTTTGTAGAATGCTCGCGCATAATTTGTAACGATGACAAAAAGGAGAATGACAAGGTGAAGCTATGGAGAGAAATGAATGATGGGATGGCTTACGTTCATGGAGGTTGCAAGCCTAGTAAAAACGAGTTTGGGATCGTTGGAATCCAAGTCGCTGGTAGGATGTTGCATCTAAACGTTCTCATCAAAGATACAGATGATATTAATCGTCTCTACCATTTACGTTCCGTTGAAATCCCAATACAACCGGTTGATGAAGAAGGTGTATCACAGTTTGTGGAGGCATTATTAATTTTACGGGTATTATTTTTATTTTATTTTTCCGACCAGAATTGCAAATGGTATTTGATTAAATTATTTACTCAATTATATAGAATAACCTAATTGTCAACATTTCTTTGCTAATGAATGCACCAGAGGCTAAATCAGAGCGTCAAAAAAAACGAAGTTCTACAGTGTCCTCAGATCGAGAAGATAATTGATTATTAACATGAGCATCTTGTACTATTACTATGTATTCCTGTATCAATAAAATCAAACAGATGGTCAAAATTTTCATACAAACATAAAAAAAATAAGCTAATTAATTATTACACATATCCAATAATTTTCCACTACATGCTGAGAATATTCGAATCGAGATTATATTTATCTCCAAATATCTACATAATCAAATATCGCCTTTACGTCTTCCGTATTCCTATTTATGATAGTTATATGATCATTGTCAATGATATGTATATATTTATTCTGGTTTTGATATAGTAAATATTGTTTTGGATTCGTGGTAAATTTGCCTTGAGATTTCCGACTATTGTTCCTAGATTTACGGGACATATCGTGATCAATTCGATATCAATATTAAATATTTTCCATTTTTTTCTCAAGGTTTAACTTATATTTGAGGTTGACCTATTGTATTTTCTAGATTTTTCAACATAGTCAAATTTATCAGTCAAAGACTCTGCACTACGTGAATTCGACCAATAAAATTCATAAAACTATGCATGTGTAATATAATCAATCAATCGGTCAGTTCGTAGTCATCATAAAAAAAATCTTGTCATGCATGATTTGACCGTATGACAAATCAGATCAGATTATCTTTTTTTTACGTGTGAAAAAACCGCTATATTAATATTAATAGATTAATTATCATGTTGAAATGATCTAATGATCTGTGCGACAAATTTGCTTAAAAAAAATAATTGATTAGATTACATAATAAATAGACGATTCTCCACTATTGTTTTTTTTAATTTGAAACTGAAACCTTTCTTTTGGATATATACAAACACATAAAATTATGTCTTCACCTTCACTCTATACGCCCTTTTTGCCCTTTACAGCTATTTTCACCGCACAAACTGAGGAGGAACTCACAATGGACGCTGTTGTCAAAGAGCTGGATACTGAGGGACTTATTCAGTTATTAAAGCGAAAAAACTTAGGTTTAAAAGAGGAATTCTATGAAATTTTAAGAAAAGAATATATTTCCGGGCGTATCTTTTCCGATATAACAGGAGATGAGTTCCGTAGTATGGGTCTACCGTTTGGGGCTGCAAAAATTCTAGCAGATTTCACCGAAACGTTAAAAACGCAAAAATTGAAAGCATACTCATCATACAAAACAGGGAAAGACCTTAAGGATGTTTTAAAAGAGCATGGAATCGTTGGGACTGGCATAGGAGACATACCACAGTTTACACCTGGTAAGGTGTTTCCTATGTAAACCAAACTATTGTACATTGAAAGATGTTGCAATGGTAGAAATACTTACTATTTTTTTTTTAACAGAGCGATATAAAATCGATGAAAATGATGAAATTCTAGAACTATGTATGACACTCATCAAGACCAAGTTGCCCATTCTGGAAACCCTACTTGCCGACGATAATGAAAGAGAACGTTGTGAATATGTAGAATCCGTCCTAGATTCGGCAATACATATTGTCAGAAGGATCACAGGAAAAAAGGTTACTCGCCACCCACAGATGGAAGTCACTGGGGAAGATAATACTGGTCGAGTAGATTATGCCATAAGACATCTCTCGGAACTTATCTGCATAACCGAAGGTAAATTTTGGAATATAACCGAAGGGTTTGTGCAAAATCTGCTCCAACTTCAAAGTTCATCTCAAACCAACAAGCGCAGTATCGATACTGCTTTCGGGGAAAAGAATTATATTTACGGAATAGTGACAACGGCAGAAGTGTGGTATTTTTTGAAATATACCAACACGGGAATTTTTTGCACAAGTAGGAATCCGCTTAAGGTTGAGTTTAATGAATCCGCATTAGAAGATTTAAACGAGGAACTTAGTTTACGCAATCATGTAAAAATAGTTCTGGAGGTGATCGTGGGTTTATTAATAGATAAATTAGGAACTGTCGAACCACCGGTTAAAAAGGTCAAGTAGGATATATTACATCCTGAAAAAAATTCTTTCATGAAATTGTAACAGCTATATGATTTTTTAATATCAATAAAGAAAGGCCAAACTTGCATGTTAAAGCATTAATCAAATATTTGTGATATGGGTTGTGGAGTGATTTGTGTTAATATACCTTGCTTTTTACTAATATGAATTTAGTTAATTATTACAAATCATAAGGGTACTTTGACCTTTATTGTATTCATTTTCACAATTGATCTTTTCTAGTTACTTCTTTACAAGGTCTACGATTACGCTGGAATCACCTTGTGTGATTGCAAAAATTCTGAATTCGATACTTGGGTATGTTTATCCAAAATATGTTGATTTAGGTTTTTTTTATCCGCATCCCTCCGACCTCGGAAAAATCTCAACATCTAAGAGGAAAAAGTGGGCTGGTCACCGATTATCGGAATGAAATGCATTTATTCTTGAACTTTCCAGTATATGGTAGGAGCATGAAGATGTTCCTCTGGTTGTCCCGGATTTTCAAAGACATTTCTGAGAGATATTTTTTCGTTACTTGTCTTTAAATACGCACCAATTTCCATTTTTTGAACTGATCTATAATTATACAGAATGGTGAAAATGAGATATATATGGAAAACAAAAATCGTTTCATTATAGAACAATTAGAGAAATCATGTAACTTACAACGTAGTAGATTCACCTTGTTCTTTTTTAAGCGTTTCTTCGTCTATTTTTTTATCTCCCCCGTCATGAACAGCGAGGTAAATTTCATCCAGTCCCACTATGTAAAAAAATATCATTATTTAATCGTGTTTTTA